ATATATATATATATATATATTGAATCAGTATCAAAAGACATTGCTTAATTATAAAAATATTCTCTTATTGATCAGTTTCTTTTATAGAAAGGAGGAGAGCATAGTATCTGCCCTGAAACAGTATTATTAGAAAATGATATCCTGAACATTAGGATGTATAATTTATGTTGCTTTCATTTGCTTGGGCCATTGTAAAAATCCATAAATCATTTTCTTGTTCATGTATTGCTTAAGTGCAATTTGTCATTTTGCATTAGTGGGCTGCTTCAGCTCATTCAGTGCTTTTAATTCACTGTTTAGAGTTTAACAAAATACTGGCCCTGCCTGATAACTGAAAAGACACTGAAATGTGAAGCTCCACCAATATCAGCCAGGTTAAACAAAATGAAGAGGATTGTTTCTATTCTGAATATCAAGATAATGGTGCTTAATGGACTATCTAGTATTCTCAGTACAAGAACAAGGACTGGTTTGTTCTCTGTTGAGTTCAAAACATTATATCACAGTAACTAGAAATACTTGAGTACTTATAGTAGTATAAGCTATAAATCTTTTCCAGAAATTCTAGTCATTATTCACTGTTTACTAAAGATAAACAAAAATTGATACAGCTTCCATGACACCAGCTCCAAAGCTTTGCCTTTCTGCTTCTTCAGTTGGCCCAGAGGACCACAAATAAACCTATTTCATGGTTACCACAAAACATGCAAGTAGTCTGGATCCTTTGCGTTTGAACTATGGGCTATGCTTGCTCATAATGACAAGTGACAGAAACCACCTTGCACAATCCTGGTCCAGTCTGGCATCTGAAACTCTCCTTATTGATAAATCATTATTTCTTTAAATTCTTTTTTGGTTTTGTTTTATTTTAAAAAGATATTATCTCTCAAAGCTCTTAGCACATTGAAATAACAAAAGGATTTAGAAACAAATTGCTTTCGCATCAACTTAAGTCAATGCAAACATTCATTTATCCAAATGCTGGTTAACAAACTTGTTTCTCTCCCGCCCTTTCCAGCAAAGACTGGGGGGAAAAGCAATCTCTATACCTAGTTTTATAGTTTGTAAAACGCACTTCAAGGATTCTTAGCCCCCCTTTATTTCTGCCTCACTTAGAACGCAAAGGAAAGACAAATATGCATTATCGATACAACGGTATAAACCAAGAATTAAGAACCCAGATGTTTATAATCTTCCTCCAACAATAAAAACTTCTCCCCTTCTGTTCTGGGATGCAGTTCCTCCTAGCTCAGACAGCTGGCGCTCCTGGGGCTTAGCGAGGGACGGAGGGTGGATTATGTAAACTAAATTTGCTTCTCCCTTCCCACTCCAGCTATGGGGAGTCCAAGAATGCAGGACATACATGGCACTCTTCACTTCAAAGAGGTCGTCAACCTCATCATCGAAATTGCAGCACATATAACCATGCCCTCGCTAAATTCTGGGGTTTCCTGGGGGGGGGGGAGTGGAAAAGCAAAAGCTATAGGGGGATCTGCTTAATTATCACAAGCTAGAAAGTAAACCTGTTTGTTTAAAAAGCATTTTAAGAAAGCAATTTTAAAGTGTTGCTTTGTTTCTTGGGTGACAGAGTGGAGTTATTTTAATGGCTCCAGGGTAAGGAGGCAGAAAAGGTTATTAATACCAAAGTCCAAATGTTGGCTCCAAACAAAATGATCTCGCAATTGTCCTCGGAAGGAGTCGCCTCTCAAAGGGCGGAGGGCCGGAGCAGTTCTATTCTGCTCAGAGGACCCCATTGTCACCCCTCTGGTCCCGGGTCGGCGCCGCGGAGACTAGAAGTCATTGAGGATAGATCTCTGGAGGACCAGGGCCTGGCGTCGCTGGCGCGGACACCGGCCTTGTTGACCCAAGAAATCCGGTAGAGCCCCCAACAGGCAAGCCCTGCAGAACCAGGGCTCCAAAGCACAAGTATCTGGCTTGCCCTACGCTGCTTTCGCCGCTAGGAGACGCTTGTAACCCACGTTTGCAGAGAGAGTTCCCATTCAAACCATCAGCTACCAAAAAAAAAAAAAAAAAAAACTGCTCAAGTGTTACAGTGGATGTAGTGATTATTTACAGGGAAATCTGGCCATCTCCCCCACGTTCTCATCTCCACCTCTGGAACCTCTCTTGCTTCCAGCAAATGCCTAAGTCTGTTTAAACTTCATATACATTTTGGAAGCAGAAAATCTATCCCCCAAATTCTGGATCTGCATTGTCATTCAGCTGCATATTTCTCACACGTAAACACGCGCGTACACCCGCGCGCACACACACAAGTGTTTTCATACGTACAAATGAACACATTAGAAAATTACCATCATTTTCACTAGGCTCCTGGATTCTGATGAGTCAGCTTGAAGAGCTCAAAACATCTCATTTCAACCCTGCAGATCTGAATAAAAAGAAAAGGGGGAAGGGGTGAGAAGTAGAGATGCAATACCGTATTAATATTCAGATACACTATAATCTCCTTTTCATTGATCCACAGGTCCTTTCATACAGTGCCGCTTCCTTCTCGGCCGCAGACGTGATGCTAAAATCATTTTAACTGCAGCGGTTTTCTCTTGGCTGTGGTCAGTCCTCAATTTACTGCAGCTGGAAAAGGATTAGCCATTTTTGCTGGCATCCTTTCCTTCTAACCGTTCGAAAGCAGGACCCATATCCCTGAAAGAGCCAGCTGGAGGGGGAGGGGAGCGGGGCGATAGACAGGAACTCCCGGGACTCGCAGGAGCATGCCTCGGACTACAAGCACGCCCATGGACACTCATGCTCTTTAATTTCTGCCTGAAGAAAATGGCAACACACCCCGGGGTCTGAAACGACTCACCATTTCCCGCAGATTGTGGTGGTGTTACTCTTGGGTCATTCATTAGCAGAAAGCCGCTAGGGAATCTTCCTATCCTGTGGCAGGAGAAGGAAACTGAACAGGGGCTGCTTTCGTGAATAAACAACCTATTCCTTGTGAGCAGCCCGTTAATTAATAGAAAATATATTTATATATCTTTCCTTGGAGAATTAGCATTCGATCCACTCTCAGGCATTGAAGAGTTCGCGCTGCATTTTAACTTCACAAGAACTGAGTGTGCGGATGCACCGCGTTGCCCCGAGCCTCAGGAGTGGGCACTCAGACCTGGTCAAGCGAGTCCTTCGGTACTCATGGGAGGCTGGGTCGGGGCTTACACAGAACCCAGCACAGGGTCGTGAGGATGAATACGAGCACAGTGAATGTGCAAACGTGTTTGCAAATACCCGCAGCGGTGCACACTCGAGGCCCCGCGTGTGTACCGCACCAGCTTACCGCCCTGCCCGCCTACGCAGCAGCCCCGCGATTATACCGGAGAGCTGAACCTTAGGCGGGGCAAAAATTGGTGCCCGGTCCAAGGAGGGGGAGGGAAGGGATCTCCGTGGTCGGAAGAAAAAAAAAATCGAGCAGAAAATAGCCCGCGCTCGCGGCAGCTGAGTGGCACTTGGCCAGACCAGGCGCAGGGATACCATAAGAACCTTGCAGCGCCGGGTGGTGCTCTGAGACCTTGCTCCAGAGCCCAGCGTTTGGATGGCGGGCTCCTAGGCAGTAGCTCAAATGGAACTCTTCAGTCTTTCATCAGTGCACTTTCAGCTCAAATGTATGTCCCACATAAATTATCTATTTGGTAAAAAAAAAAAATGTATATACATTTAGGGAGGCAAGAAGCACGTCTAACGCAGAAGCACGTCTATAGAAGCTGTCATTCCAAAATCCCTCCGCTGTTTAGGACCCACCTCTGTACCCCATTCCAACCGTTTAGCTCCTTTCCACAGGATCCCTCCAGACCCTCAGGCTTAGATTGACACATGCTAAATTATAGCCATTTTTTAAACGTCCTCTCAATCCCTGCTACAGTCCCTTAATTGGGCAACCCCTGCCAATTAGTGGCCCTATGCAACTTTTTCCTTCTCGGTGTTTTCTTTCCATGATCAGTAACAGGGAAAATACCTTAAAGGAAAAAGAATGTTAGCATCATTGGAAATCCCGCTCCTCGGAGATAACACCGCAGCTGTTGCTATTATGTTTTCGCATTTGCTGATGCAAACAGGGGAACCTCTCTATTCCCTTCCCATTACCTGCGGCTGGGGACTGGGAACTTTCCGCAGCAGAGTCCCCAGCCAGCGCCTCGGGACCTGCGGGGCTGTTCTCTTTCTCACACACACACACTCACACTCACACACACACACACACACACACACACACACACACACACACACACACCAAGCACCAGGGAGGAGAAGGGGTTGTGTGTAAGATAAATTTCTTTCTGCTAATACATTACATTCAGGGACAACAGAATTTACACTAGAATGCCTGAAGAGGATGCTGGGAAATATGATTCCTGAGAATTTTTTTTTGTGTGTGGTGATGACATGGGGAAGAAAGAATTAACTACTTAATGAATTGATAAGGAAATAACTTTGGCAGAAAGAATCTCAGGTATGAGAAAACAAAGATGTGAGATTGGCAGATGCAGAGAATTGGAAAACTATCAGTTACAGACAGAAAAGCAGAGGGAAATGAAGCTGAGAAATATGGTAGGTAATGTAAACCATGGGCAATATTCTGAAATTTTGTTCAAATAATATATAATATTTTTGCCAGTGATTGTATTGGAGGATAGAAAAAAGAAAGGTAAGAGACAGGAAAGTCCAGTTTTGATAATTATATGTGAATTGACAATTACCTCAATACATCAAGCAGAAGAAGGGATGAGAAATAAAGAAAGTATTTTAGGATGCATTCAGCAGGATGCTTCCTCAAAATTTCTGTAGCTTTTGATTTTAAAATAATTTAAGACAGCATTTAATACAGCAGCATTTCTAAGATAGTACAGAGAGTTCTTGAGTACTTATCACTTACTTTCTTAAATGTTAATATTTTAAGTAGCATCTTACATAATACATTACTTAAAATTATCAAAACTAAGAAATTAATATTGGTGAAATTCTGACACGGAATATAAATTATAAACTAAATATAAATATATATGAGTTTCCTGATTTTAGTTTGGGTTATTTTTTTGCAGGAGGGATACTAGGGATTAAACTCAGGGGCACTCAACCATTGAGCCACATCCCCAGTCTTATTTTGTATTTTATTTAGAGACAGAATCTCACTGACTTGCTTAGCACCTCGCTTTTTGCAGAAGCTGACTTTGAATTCTCCATCCTCCTGCCTCAGGCTCTGGAGCCACTGGTATTATATGCATGGTGCCTGGCTGCATTTATTTTGACACCAAAATGTGTTCAGTGCTAATCTTTCATTTTCCTGACCTCTTTCTTATCATCCTATAAGAAGCCTTAGTAACTTTTATTTTAGAAGGATATTTAGAAAACAAGATATGGTCCTAATATTACTTTTGCTACTTTGAAGCATCTTCATTAAGGCCCTCTCTAGGACAGAGCAAGGAAATATATGTTTATGTGCCAGAACACATGTATGTTTATATGTATATACATATACACACATTTATTTTTAAGATATATACATCTGGTTACATGCATGCACCTGTATGCACTCTGCAGGTATATATATAATATACATGTCCATACATATATCTCAGACTCCAGTTTGGTCCCATTAGCTCATTCTATATTAACATTTTATTTATAAAGTTTTTTTCTATGAGAAGCTTGACCCTTATTATTTGTAATATATTTACTTACTTATTCTAACCAAGTATACATATAAGATAGCTTCACACTTGCTAATATGTACTCTGTGAGAAACAGGTTTACTAACTAGAGTACAGGATTTGTATCATAGGATTTTGACTCTATATGGGGAATGAGAAAAAGAAAATTTCTAGGCTTCTTATTAGAATGATTGGGTGCATGGTGATATTATTAACTAAATAAAGAATAAATTGGCAGAAAAACAAATTAAACAAAAGAAGATGAAATTAATTTTTTATATATTTAGTTTGAAATGGCTATAGTTCACCCGAACACAAAGTTTCAAAATGCATTTTGATGTATAGGTCCAAGATCCAGAAGAACAGTTTCAACTGAAAATCAATATCTGAGTCTTGGTTGTGCCTGATATT